TTGTTGAGATCTGATGCATGTTTACACTGTAGTTAAGGACATCAGGCCTCAACCACCACAAAGGCTTCTCGTGGAGATTGGAATTTATGCATGCAAATAAGCCGGAGACACACCTGTCTGTTATAGCGAAGAGAGACGAAGACTAAGCGGACATTTGAGCGCTGAAACACGTAACGTGTGATGTCATAACTTCTGCTTGTTGGAAAGCCACAATTTCTCATCCGTGTTCTTTGGTAAAGTATCTTTCCTTATAATTGATTTGGCCTTCATGACCACAAACTTGAGTCTGAACATCATGCAGAAGTCACAACTTTGATAGCAGTATCACAAAGAAAGGACATTTCATCCAACCCATTGGCTCCAAAGCCTGTAGGACTAATCCATTAAAAGGATCTCCTATTAACCATAGACTATTTTTGACCATTTCTGTATTAAAATATTATATTTATTAACTTTTTTCACCTCCAATTAGTCTTCTGGAATTATTTGTAATAAAAATGAAATCCAAATAGAAAAGTAAACGCAGAAGGAACAAATCTAGAGTTTCAACCGTGCAACAGCACAGGCTCAAATCTCTTCAGCATGTCGACAAAGAGGCCATTCTTCTAGGCAGCTTTCTACAGTCGGTCAGTAGTGCCAACTGTTTAAGGCCACGCGATGGTCCAGTTGTGAAAAGCAAGAGACAGAGAGGTTAATTTAGGGCAGACCTCCAATTATCACTGCTCTGCAGGGAGTTGCAGCCTGCAGGATCACCAAGGGAGATGTGCTCAAAATAATGATCCATCGCTGCAGGGAGGTCTGGGCATCTTTCAGAAGACAACTATCAGATTCTGAAGTAGAAAACTGTCCTCACTGCTGGACTCTGTTGGTAATCGCTTTTATTTAACTGCTAGAAATTCATCAGTGAGGTATTACTCCATCTGACTTTAAGTCTAGTTGGCTTTGGGATGGAAAATGCAGAGCAGCCAAACCCTCTGCTGTCTCAGCCTTTTCTCCAAACAACCAAACCACAAAGTATTTTCAGCAACACACATGAACGGGGCATTTCCCAGATATTTCAGTAACCTTTAGCAATGACACACGAGGTGTAATAATGCAGTATTTCAGTTATTGCAGAACTTCGGGATACAGAGCATTACAGCACATTTTATCATCCTTTCTTCCAACAAACTCTACTGGAGACAAAGTGCTGAACACAATGAGACATTTAGCAGTAAAAGCTCAAGATATTAGCGACCAATATACGAGCTAAAAAAAAGAGTGAATACTGGACTTGAACACATTTCACACAAGAACTATGGAAGCCGGCACATTAAAGACCAGCTAATGTAAAACTGTTTCCATTCTCACATGTGGTTCTGCTGGTTAAATCAACAAGAACTTTAAGGCTGCAACAAAACTTGCAGTACAAAGAACAACTTTTATTTCACAAGCTCAAAAATGTTGGTCAAGCATTAAAACTGTTCTTTA